GAAGGGGCAGAGAAGGCACAAGGACGCAGGTCTCAGAACTTGCTGGCTGGAGTTTTTCCCAGTGCGTGGCCTGTCTCTTGCTGCATCTGTGCCTCAATCTTAAAATAATGCTCTTAGCCATGGGACAGCAGTGAGAAGCGTGGGAGGAACAGCCCAGGCCTTCCCTACTGGTGGAAATACCCGTCTAGCATGTCTCAGAGACCAAGGGCAATACCACAAGTTCCTTTAATGACCAGATGTTGGGCGTTTGGCAGCACCTTGGGTTCTTTTGTTAATGTAGAGACTACAGATGGAATTCTATTATTTACAGCACCTAAATCCCACTCTTAAAATGGCGGGAGAGGTGTGGGGCTAGCCAGCTGAGGGAGGATTGATACCAGCACGCAGGAAGCGCCGCCCATCGTGGAGATGGAGCAGGGGCTTGGGGTGGGGATCCACAAACCCAGCCCTCCTATCTAGGCTGCCTGATGTTCATTTCACCTGGATTTAACCTGCCTAGAAAAGGGGGAGGGGTACACAAAATAGTACAATGACATGTGAGTTTGTTATGTCTGGAACAAGTTCAGAACATTAATATTTAGTGGCAAGTTGGACTTGGAAAGAAAGAACACTGTAAAATAAAATGCAGCAAAATAAGTTAAAATGAACATGGCGAGTTTCATTCTAAAATTGCCTGTTAATTCCTGGATCAACACTTATGTATATGTGCACTATACACATACACACTCTCATTCTCACACATTTCTAAATCCTACACTTCATTCACTGTGCTTCAGTTCTAGATCTAGTTGCTCTATGAGTCCTTTTCTGGTTAATTTATTCCTGGACTAATTATTCTTTTCTGAGTGTCTAAAGAATATGTAGTCTTAATATAGACTTCTTTTCTCCCCAGGTGAAATGAGAATTCTACTTCATTGTGGTCCTGCACAATGCTGGGCACACAGTAGGTAGTCAGGTACATCAAGCCCGCTGAAATTCAGGGGAAGTAGCCCTAGGGACACGTAGAAGAACTGACCTGCTCCTCAGGATTTCAGGTTCGAGTCTTGGATCAAGGCTGCATGTTTGGACCACAATAATTATAAATCTCTCATGGGATTGCCTTCCCTGAATTTAACTGAATTTTAAAGCTGGCATTTTTCGAGGGTTGAGGAAATTATTTCTGTACTGCCTTTGCTATTTAAAAAAAAAAGTTGTAGGAGGACATTGTCTATCACATCACTCAAGGTCCCCTTATGTAAAGTCCCACTTTTTTTTGGTAATTCTGTGCCACAAAGTCTTGTTTCTACGGAGTATCTGTCATGCTCCTGGGTAGAAGAGCACAACATATGTTTATCTTTTTTTCCTTTCTGGAGAATTATAGGTCGAACTGGGTTCTTCTTTTTCTTTTTTTTTCGACCGGTAAGGGGATCGCAACCCTCAGCACGGTGTTGTCTGCACCACGCTCAGCCAGTGAGCGCACCGGATGCCCATCCGTGTATAGGATCTGAACCTGGGGCCTCGGCGCTACCAGCGCTGCACTCTCCCAAGTGAGCCACGGGGCAGGCTCTGGGTTCTTTTTCCCCTGACGTTCAGAAAGCTCAGATACATTCTATGCTTAATCACACACATAATTGCTGTGTATGTTGACATATGGATGAGGGTACTTCAAAAAGTTCATGGAAAGATTTGTATTATCTTTTAATTCTATTTTTCTATGAACTTTTTGAAGTACTCTTGTATTTTCCTTGTTCAGGGTTTTAAATTTTCTTCTTAGATTTTGTTAGTTGTTATTTTAAAGCTTTTTTTTGAATTTTGGAAAACAGAAAAAAAGAGAGAAATTGCCACTACTCTTATAACCCAGATTTTAGCATCTGTGAAGATTTAGTTATATAGTATTTCCTTCTGTATCATTAGAAATTGCAGAGTAAAAGAGTCTAGAAATCACAATGGTTTAAACTGTTTATTCTCTTGTAGAAGAAATCCTGAGGCAGGCCATCTAGGTCTCATATGGTGGCTCCCTTATATTATAAAGGACCCAGACTTCTTTCTACTCTGCTGTCCTCTTACTGGGGCTCCTAGAGTGACCTCAAGGTCACTTCATGGCCTTGTTGGAATTGCAGCCATATTGTCTGCATTCCAGGCATAAGGGAAAAGAGCAAAAGAAGGGTTAACTCCCTCCCTTTTAAGGAGCCTTCCCAGAAATCAGACCAGCCCCTCTAGAATTGGCCAGAATTTAGTCACATGGACTGCTATGGTTTGGGTGTGGTTTGTCCCATCAAAACTCATGCTGAAATTTGATTCCCAATATAGCCGCGTTGGAAGGTAAGGACAGTGGAAGATGTTTGGATCAAGGTGCACTACCCCCATGAATAGATTGATGCCTTCTTACAGAAGTGAGTGAGTTTTCACTCCATTGGGAATGGATTTGTTCCCAAGAGACTGGGTTGTGCCTCTTGGCATATGCCCTGCTCCCCTTCTACTTTCTGCCATGAGTTCTACCATGAGTTAAAGCAGCATGAGGCCCTCACCAGATGCAGCCGCCCAGTCTTGAACTTTCCAAACACCAGAATTGTGAGTGAGCCAAATAAACCTCTTTTCTTTATAAATTGCCCAGCCTCAGGCATTCTGTTATAGCAACACTAACCAGACTAAGACAGTCACATAGCTGCAAGAGAGTCAGGGGTATATAGTTTTTTTCAGCTAGGCACATTTCCCAGGTTTCTGTTACTAAGGATGAAAGAGAGACTTACTGTTGGAAAGCAATCAGCAGTCTACCACATTTCCAAATATTTCTGTATGCATACGAGGGTACTTCAAAAGGTTCATGGAAAAATAGAATTAAAAAGTAATATGACCAAGGTCAAGGGTTCAGATCCCCATACTGGCCAGCCAACAATAAAAAAAAGTTAATATGAATCTTTCCATGAACTTTTCTTTTTTTTTTTCCTCCCCCTTTCTTCGTGTCCGGCAACGGATCGCAACCCTCAGTGTCGCGCCCGTACCGGACCGGTACCGGCAACGGGATCGCAACCCTCGGTGTTGCTCCCGCACCTCGCTCAGCCAGTGAGCGGGACCCGGTCTGTATGTGGGATCCGAACCCTCGGCGGGAGCGCCACCGCATTCCCAAGCGGCGCGCTGTAGCAGTGCGCCACCAGGCCGGCCCTTTCCATGAACTTTTGAAGTAACCTCATATATATTCAGTAATGGTGTTTTGTTGAAGCCACCTGAAGTAGTTTGTGGAGTAAGATGTAAACAAACATCCATGTAAATATGAACAAATAAAAGATACTACATCTTGTTATCTTATAGGCTTTGCCATTCTGCCTTTCCATAGTTTTTTCTATGAATTTATCATTTATACATATACTGATAATATTTTTTTGAATATTCCATCAATATAGACTTATCCAGGGCTAGAAGGAAATTTAGTTTTCTTCAAGGGTTGCATATTCAGATGACTACAGGGACCATTCAGGTACCATAGATAATTAAAGTGGGCCCAGTGTTGAGGACATAATCGGGAGTGGTGGGAATTGTGGCAACCTGGAGAGAGCATGCCCTATCTGAAGGGGGCAGTCGCCACTCAGCTCCATTCATCCTTACCATGTGACAATGCTGGCTCCATGCTGCAAAATCTTCTGATTTCATTTTCAAGAGAAACCAGAAATCTAGATTTTTATCTGAAATCTCCTGGTGTTTATAACTTGGCAACTAATACACTCAATTTTCAAAAACGCCAGCCAAATGCAGCACCAACCTGTGGGCTGCAAATTCAGGATCTTCATTCTGGTCCATGCCTTGTTTTTCATTTGGCACCGAGAGAGCCTGGTGAGATCAAATGCCCTGTGATGTGGCTGGAGACTTTGCTGTTCAGGCCCCATCTCAACAAAACCTGGTCCTCTGTGACTAATTTGTCTCAGAATATGAAGAGATAATAAAAATTTGAAGTAGAGCAAGACTACTCTGAAGGGTGATTCTCTCCTTTAGCTGGTTTTCATTTTCTTCTTAAATCATTTTGGTGGAACAGAAAAAAACTGAGCTCAAGTCTCAGCTCTGCTTTTTATAGCTGTGTGACTGAGGGCAAACTTCTGGTGTCTTGTTTGTGTTTCTGGAACCGTCTATTGTCTTACTTGCTTGCTTCTTTTTCTCTGTTTTTCCTGCTTTTGAGTAGCACAGCATGGTGGTTAAGGGGAGGTTGTCTGGAGCCAGATATGAATCCTGGCTTTTCTATCTGCCAGCTGTGTGATGGGCAGGTTACTAAAACTTTTTATGCCTCAGTTTTCTCATCTGTAAAATGGGGATAATGATAGCATCTACCTCATAGGCTGCTCTCCCACGTTCTCTTTTTTGCTTCCTCTTCTGCTTGGGAAGCCACAGATCATTTATTAGCAGGTTCTTACAGTGGGCTCAGTTCTGGTCCTTGTCTCACAATGAGCACTTCTAGCTCCTGGTGCCCCTCAGCAGCCAGCCTGTGGTCCCCAGTCTGGACCTAGACCCAGCATGAAAAGCAGCCAGTCCTCACTCATTGCTTTTGGCTCTGTTCTGTTTCTGGTACCTTGTTCTTGAGCCTATCTGTGCCCTTTTACTTTTCTCAGCTCATATTTTTTTTGGTCATTGCTATATGTTTGGAAGGGAAGGAATGGATCAACTGGCTGTGCTGTCTTGATCTAAAGTCTTGCTAAATTATTTCATTGGTCACACAGAGAGGACACCCATCCTGTTAGGCGATTTTGAAGATCATGTTATAAGATAAAATGTAAAAGCAGTGTGAGTTGCTTTAGCCAGAATTATGAGTGCAGCAGCTAACTTTTCCTGGAAACCAGTCCTGGTGGATTCACAAAGGCTTCCCCCACCAGGTTTGTTAAAACGGCCAAACATCCAAGAGTATGGCACACATGTTAATTAAAGAAATTGTCTTTTTCCCTAAAGACTTTAAATGCAGAGAAACTTAGACTGTGTTTATGTTTCAATTAAATTTCGTCTTTCTCATTCTATAATACATCACCATCCAATCTTTTCAGCTTTTAGGTTAATTTGAATAAGACATCTGACCTGACCGGCCCAACTGTTCAACTCCTCAATGAAAATTAATATTCGCAGGGAGGAGTAAGTGACATAGGTATGTATTTCTAAGACTCATTGTTGCTTCTCCTCTTTACCTCCTTTTATGTTAGTAAGTAGTAACTAGAAGCAGGAAGGGAAGGACTTGTTTATTTTGTTTTTTAATTCAGTAAGTCTTCTCTAGACCAACAAGGAAACTGGTAAAACCAGCTGTTGCAGACGCCGTTCTTTTTCCCACAAAGTGACGAGAAAGAACTTCTGTTTCAGTTCCATATTACCAGCATTTAGCCAGAAAAACTTTAGAATTTATGATGGATTTTGTTTTTAGCACTCTACTTGCTAGACTTAAACATCTACATTAATAAGCTTCACCATCTTGGATATTTGCTTAGCATTGGTTTGACTAGTGTAGGTGGCAGGGCTACAACAAGATGAGAGAGGAGGGTTGCAGGTTAAACCCCGAGTGCATCTTTTAGTGCAGTGCTGTGTATTTTTTTAGGCCACAGACCCCTTTGAAAATCTGATTAAAGGTATGAACCCTCTTTCCAGAAAACTGCACATATGATTTTAGGGGGGTTCGTGGACCCTAGAGGACCCACAGACCCAAGTTAAGAACCTTCATTTTAGGGGTTTATAGATAGCCTACAGGGGCCATGACCCCAGGAGTGAGGTGATGTGTCCCCAGAAGTTAAGTTTCAAGAAAACTGCTTGTAAAAGTTCAAAGGTTGATGCAGCTGAGAGTATATTCCGAGGTCTAGCCTCAATCTGAAATTATGTCAGGTACATTTTTAAAAATTATTTTCTTGCCCTGATGGTGGAAGGCTGGTTAAGGAGCTGTGATCTTTGATTTCCTTTCCTCCCTGAATTGAGAACTCCTGCCAGAGATCGTCTGTAGTGTATTTAGGTCCTATATTATGCCAAAGTCACCTTGATTTTAGAAAAGGGTTTCTGAGTGATCTCTGGACTTGCTGTAGGTATCAGGAGAGTTCAGTTAATTATACCCCAAACACATTTTTTGGAAATTTTTTTGTCCTGCCTCCTCTGTCTCCATCATTGGCTACCAGAGTTCTCATGATGAGTGTTTTCAGCAGAGGCTACTTGAAACCATTCCGGGGAAGCTGTTGCCATAGCTACTTTGGCTATGCGAGTTACCATTTTCTCCTGTTTGTTAGCTTGTGGTTTCCCTGATTTTTAAGGTAATAGCTGATGTTATATTTTTTCTACTGAGCAGCAAGGAAAATACTGGATTTTTGTTGCTGTTACTTTTGTTGTTGATATTTGGTTTTATGTGTTTGGTGTGTGTGGGGGGTGTGTGTGTGTGTGTGTGTGTGTTTTATATATATGGTAAAATTACCTGAAAAGATGAAATATTAGGAGAGTCAGATATGCATATACATTTCTTGTACTCCAATTATAAGTTTTGGTCTAGTGGTCAAATTTGGCCCACTTGTAGCCTAATTTGGGACTAATTGCTGTAGTCAGGTGCCTTCCGCAGGAAAAAAACTTGGCCAAGCTCCATTCACAGCCCAGGAGCCAGGACCTCTGTGACCTGGGCTGAGTGTGAACTGGACACCAGCGCCAGGTGCCTTCATGAAGCAGATGGCCGACTCAGGCAGAGGTTGCTTTATCTCAGCCTGTTCTGAAAATAATGAGGTAGAGCCAGCAGGCAGTACAACCACACCTTGTGGCACCAGCAATCACATCCTATGTTTCTGTTCAAGGCTGTAAACATAGCACTTAACACACATCTGGTGCACCAGGTGCAAATTAAATCTACAGAGACATTTGAGGTGGCCTGTTGACAGAAATCAAAGTGTTACCCCCACTCCTGCTCCTGCCTCTCTAACTGGTCTTATTTTTTTACTCTCTAAAGGACACTATGCTCAACATTTTCCAATTTGCTTATCCTGGAAGTTCTCATGAGATTAAAAAAAGAAAACAGCAGCCTACTCAGTTTATCAGTGCTCAGGACTGTGTGATTGTGGTTTGGGTGGTCGCCACTCTGTTGGTAGCTGCAAGGTACTGATAGTATCTGCCTGGGTGGACCCCAAGAACATATCTGGATCATGATGTGCCATCGTGTCTCTTAGCACAACAGGCCTCTGCAGTGTGGTGGGCTCCACCCTCCTCTCTGTATTTGCAAACCCAGACCTGTGCTTCTGCTCCCCAGATCAAGATGAACGCCATGCTGGAGACCCCCGAGCTCCCGGCCGTATTTGATGGGGTAAAGTTGGCCGCAGTGGCTGCCGTGCTGTACGTGATCGTCCGGTGTTTGAACCTGAAGAGCCCCACAGCTTCACCTGACCTCTACTTCCAGGACTCGGCACTTTCACGCTTTCTGCTCAAGTCCTGTCCTCTTCTGACCAAAGAGTGAGTAGGCTTCATGCCTTCTGTATACCATGCACTGATCTTTTTGGCTTTGTGTGATGTTCAAAGAAAAACTTCCTCACATCAGGTCCTTGAGGCATCGATGGCAAATGGAGTCACTGGTATTAAAATAGTCACAGTCTCGATAGTGGTCTGGTGTTTGAATCCTGGAGGGTAGGAGAGGGAATCAGATCTTTGTTGCCTGGAAACATCCCTTCCTCCAGTGTTGTGTCACCATACATGGCAAGGGCTTTGCAGAAAACAGTAGTCATGGGCCGGCCCAGTGGCGCACTGGATAGTGCGCCGCTTGGGAGGCGCGGCGGCACTGCCGCCCGAGGGTTCGGATCCCACATACAGACCGGCTCCCGCTCACTGGCTGAGCGAGGCGTGGGAGCAACACCGAGGTTTGCAATCCCGCAGCCCTTCATTTACAAATAGGAAAAACGAATAGAGAAAGGTAAGTATTTCTTTTTTTTTATTTTTATTTTGTCAATATACAATGTAATTAGTTATTGTGT